TTTTAAAATTGGAGTCTAGGGGCGCCTGGGTGGCTCAGTCCGTTGGGGGTCCGACTTTAGCTCCGGTCATGATCTCATGGTTCGTGGGTTTGAGCTGCACATCGTCGGGCTCTGTGCTGACAGCCAGCTCAGAGCCTGGAGCCTGATTCAGATTCTGTGTCTCCCTCTCTCTCGGACCCTCCCCTTGTCTCTCTCTCTCTCAGAAATCAATAAAACGTTAAAAAATTTTTCTACAATTGGAGTCTCGCTTTCCCATGTATCTAAGGAATGGAACTAAGGACCACCTTTGCTCACCGTTGTTTATTACTTACGTTGGATTCACAGCAGTTAGCAAATACCATATAATCACTTCATGCAACTCAGGGTACAGCTATTGCAAACAGTTGTAAATATATTTTATGTATAATTTATCACTCAGTATCCATTTATTTTATAAATGAATATCAACAAAATGTGTCCTAAACACTCCCTTTCCTGTGCATGAAATGGAAGCTTGATTTCTCACTTCAACCTAGTCTAAATGCCTTTTTATTTCTGCAAGTATAATTTTTTCTCAATCCAACTTTTCTTCTCAATCTAAATAAACCTCAACGAGGTTAGTATATGTAGTGGGAAAGAAACCTGATTACTCTGTCCTTTGTTAATATATTTTCCTATTGGCACACTGAATGGACAAGGGAGTATTGTAATCTTTCTGGTCACTTAACACATGTTTATTGAAAAGTTAACGGTATACCATCGCTGTGTTAGGTGGTACGAGGTCATGTTGACTAAAACCAGATGCTTGATCTTGATGGAATTTATCAGCTACTGGGAAAAAGACACACTAGATTGTAATTGTATTCCAAGTAAAATATGAAAATCAAAATCACAGGATAATTTTGAGAAGCACTTGGAAGTGTTTCTATAGGAGTATTTTGACCCTCTCGGGAAAGCCAGGAAAGATTTTCCTGAGAAATGACAGTTGAGCCAAAATCACGAGGATAAGAAAGAGGATTCCTACGAGAGGAAACAGCAGGTGTAAAGACTTGCTGGTTGGTGGGAGCCTGGTGAAGAGCAAGGACTATAAGGAGTCTCGTGTGACATCCTAAGACAAACTGGAAACCACCGAAGAGAATGAAGGAAAGGTCTGTCATCAGATCTGTGTGTTAATACATGTTTTCTGACTGAGTTGTGGATAACTGGGTGGAAAGAGGCAAGAATGGATGTAGAGAAACCAGTTAGCAGTAACTCAGCCAAGAGCTAGGAGGTCAAGATAGGGGAAGAAGTGGTACAGTCTGAGATGTAATTAGGAGATAAAACTAACACAACATAGATACAGAGTCATTATGAGGGATTTAGCCAAGAGAGCCTCTTCTAATGACTCCCCAGTTTATAGTGGAGCAAAAGAGGTGTTCTTTTTCCAGAAATAAGAAGGAAGAAAAAGGAATCCAGTTGTGTGTAAGGAACATGAGTTCAGATGAGTTTAGGCCTGTTTAAAAGAGACTGTCAAGTAGAGAGTTGCACACTTGGGTCTGGAGCTAAAGGAGAGATCTGAGCTGAAGGCAAAAATTATTGAGTCATCTTTGTTTAGTTGGCAAATTACTGTATACATAGGGGAGATCCCATAGGGCTGGCAAGTATATTCTGGAAAGGAGAGTTGGGTTAGGAGCGGGCTTCCAAATTACGGCTGGTTACAAGTGGATGCGCCTTCAGAGAACACCAGGGCAGAGTAGCTAGAGATGATGAAGGGAATCCAAGAGAGGAGTCTGTTACGGAAAGCAAGGGGAAAGTGTTCAAGAAGGAGAAAGTGTTCAACAGTGTCAAATGCTGCTGAGACTGCAAGGGAGATGAAACCTGAACAATTTGTTGGATTTTTGGGACTTTGAGAAATCATCATGGTCTTTTGTCACAGCTGTCATTGGACTAATGGGAATGGGAATCCAAGTGAAATTATGTGGTCCTTTACAAGTGGGGATGTGGAGTTTGAACACTCTGAAAGCTCGGCTCTGAGGTAATTGTATAGAGAGGGTCCTCCTACTGATGTTCATCATGAGGATGTGTCGTCTGTCTTATGGCTAGGGAAAATGACTCAAGCTTGACTAAAGATTAATAGGAAGAAAAAATTATAATGGAAACATCCACGTAAGAGATGGACAGTGCTAGAGTAAAGGGATAGTCTGTAGTAAGGGCTCTAAGAAGGCAGAAAAGATGAGTTCCTAAACACTACTCACTAGAACATTAACGTCCAATGCTATGTAGGAGAATTTCTTATATTGTAACTTTGTTAATCGAGGATGAATTTGCATTCCTGGTGGTAGTGGTAGAAAGATGATGGTTCCCGTGTGATGTTCATTTTCTCCATGAAACGGGAAAAGACAGGGGAAGAGGAAGGTCTGATGTTGAAGAGAACAGATAAGGTTTAAAATAGTCACTAGGGAAGGAATTTATTTTAAAAAAATATGATAGGTTTGTTAAAAGTATAGGGGCCATTTCAATTTCGCTGTAATGGAATTGATGTCGAAAGAATGTGTAAAGTATTTCCCAGCTATTGGGGTGCTGTGACAAGGAACTAAGGATAATGTTTCCATGCGGGATTAACTTAGAGGGATCTCTAAAAGGAGGGTTAGGGGAGTTTAAGGGATTGGCAAGTGTCGTTTAGGCAAATTGACCTGAATCAAAGGAAAGTTTCAAAGTAGAGGACTGATGGAATTGAGAGAAAGCATAGGAGTTAGTGAACTGATGGTCCCAGTGAAGTCAAAGACGGCTCTGGTGGGTAGATTTGAAAAGAAAAGTTACTAGACATTGTGATCTTAGTGTAGAGTACTTGAATGAATGGTTATGAAAAATTTATGAGTGGTCATAAAGACAGCAGGGTGACCATGGAAGTGGGTGCTGAGATGGAATGAAGGGTTCATGAAAAAAGAGGAATTCAAGCAGTGCGGATATAATAATGGATAAGTTGTGATAGGAACCCTTAAGTCACCTGGCATAGTGGATAGCGTTAGGGAGGAAATCCATGAGAAGTCGGTTGCCAGGACCTTCCAAGAATAAAAGGGGGTGAATTATATTGAGGGTAAGAGAAGGTTTTCTAGCTGAATGCAAGGGCCTTGAAGAGGCAGCATCAAGTTGATATTGTTCCCTGAGTAAGGAGAATTTGAGGGATTGTGTGTTCGAGGTCTTCTTTCAAGGCCCAGAAATCATCGTGGACGTCCCGCAGGGACCCTGTCCTCGAGGAGTGCCCAGACCATAGATGGCCACAGGGCGCCTGGGTTTCTCAGTCAGTTATGTGTCCGACTTTGGTTCAGGTCATGAGCTCACGGTTCATGGGTTCGAGCCCCGTGTCGCGCTCTGTGCTGACTGCCAGCTCAGAGCCTGGAGCCTGTTTCAGATTCTGTGTCTCCCTCTGTCTCTGACCCTCCCCTGCTCACACTGTTTCTCTCTCTCTTGCCCTAAGAAATAATTAAAACATTAAAAAAATAAAAACTAAGAAATAGATGGCCTCATGAGCAATTCGAGACCGTTCACTGCAGTATATGCTGCCTATAATATTTAGTAGGGACGTGAAGGTCACACGAGTTACCTGTATTTTAAGGAGTCATTGGAAATTTTCTCAAGAAAGTTTTTATCGGAACTGGATTTGATATAGTTCTTAAAGTGGAGAAGGCAAGAAGGACATTATGAAAGGAATGATAGGTTTTATGACTCCTAATAATTATAGATGGAATTGAAACTCAAAATTTTAGCATCCCATTGTATTAAGTACTGTTCTTACCATGTGGTTCTTCATTATTAGAATATTTCCATTTCTTGGCCGAACCTTCTGTTTTTTCCTTCTTAGAGTTCAACATTCTTGTCTAATCTCTCCTATGAAGTCTCAAATTAAAGTGTGTTTCTCCTTGAATGAAGAGAGAACCTTTCTAATTTTGGTTTCCTTCCTCAAAGGTGGTGAAGACGAGAAAGACATGAAGTGAACGCGAGTTTTGGTTATCCAAAAACCTGTCAGGAGTGTTGGTAGACTCAAGTGAAAAAAGGTAGCCCCTTGAAGTCATGGTCCTATGATTCATAAAAGGTCAGAAGTTGTTTTCATTTGGTATATACAAAATCTGAGGGTGTGAACCGGAGGAGTCATTACGTATCTTACTCACACAGCCCTTTGATGAATACAGAGAGGGTATCTGAGTGGGATATAGTGTGCTGTTATGCACACAATCCAATTGCACTCATCACCACAATTTGCTACAATATGCGCAAAATACACATACCAGATTCATCCATTAGAGACAGTCATCATTATGTTACGTTTCTTTAATTTTGAGAGGGAGAGACAGAGCACAAGCCAGGGAGGGGCAGGAGACACAGAAACAGAAGCTGGCTCCAGGCTCTGAGGCATCCGCACAGAGCCTGATGCGGTGCTCGAACTCACAACCCGTGATATCATGACCTGAGCCGAATCAGATGCATAACTGACTCAGCCACCAAGGCGCCCCAGAGATGATCCTAATCTTAAACAATTAGTGAGCCATGAGCTTGGTTAACTTGGAAACAGAGACACTGGTGTGATAAGAAAGAGTATGGACTTCAAAACTCAAAACCCATCAGTTGTTTCCTATGAGGTTATACATCTCTAGAATGTGGAGTGCAGAGGGTCAACGTGTATCAACTGGGAAGGAAGGTAAATGGTAGCAAAAATCCTAAGTAGGTGAATGGATATGAGGAGCGCTAGGAGCAGGATCCAGATGGAAGAACAGAATTGTGAAATAGGCCAGTTTCCTGCCCAAGCTAAAGAAAACTGTTTAGGACAATTCAGTATTTCTCTGGGTTGAGGGTGGGGTGGCAGTGGGGAGAGTCGGTTAGGGAGAAGTGTGTAAGAGAGGAACAGAATGGAACCAGCTAGTTTTAGGACTTTTCTATCATGTTCTAGGAATCTCCAAGTCACCCACCAATGATTTCCCTCCTGAGTAATTTTTGGAAGACACCCCTGTGCTCTCTGAGGCAAAACACCCATCCTCTGAAGTGGAGTATTTATCCGGCAACTTGTCCTTCTATCGTCGCACTTGTGCTGGTAAGGAGAAAGGAAATGCACTTCAAGTTTCGGCATTCAGGGCAGTGAGGGTTTGAACAGATCTGTAGAGGTCCAGCTCAGCATGTCTGCTCCGCCAATGGGGGAAAGGTACCCATTGGGTCCATTTATCATCTTGCCCTCCTCTCTTATTTGGGAGTCTGGGTCTCTGTTTCTGTACCCTAAGTAGAAATTCATCCTATCATTTTTCACTCGTAGGCAGGAAAGAGGAAGTGTGTGCATTCATTTCAGGAAAAACATCATTTATTGAGGGAAGAAGGGAAATCTAAAGCACAGTATCCACAACTGCTGTGGCGTCACTGAAGCCTATATGTTACGAATTAATATAAGGTGAAACAGGGGCGCCTGGGTGGTTTAGTCAGTTAAGCGTCCGACTTTCGCTTACGTAATGATCTCATGGTTCGTGGGTTTGGGCCCGCATCGGGCTCTGTGCTGACTGCGAGCTCAGAGCCTGGAGCCTACTTCAGTCTGTGACTCTTTCTCTCTCTGACCCTCCCCTGCTCACGCTGTCTCTCTCTCTCTCTCCTAGAAAAAAGAAAAAAAAAACGTGAAACCATCATTTGTAGTCTTCTAGTAATACTTGACCACAGAAAATAGACAAGAGCTCCGGATCCTTAGTTATTAACATTAAACAATCTTCTCTACTGAATGACTTGCTAAATTGAGCTCACAATCGAAAACTACAAAACAGGGGCCCTTGGGTGGCTCAGTCGGTTTGGCCACTGATTTCGGCTAAGGTCATGATCTCACAGCTTGTGAGTTCGAGCCAGCTTCGGATTTTGAGACTCCCGCTCTCTCTGACCCTTCCTGCTCACACTCTGTGAGAGTCAGGGAAACAAATATTACACTATATTGACTACACTCTGAGATAGCACACTTCCAAGACACACTGTTGGCTTCTACATGAAGATAATAGACATCTATTCTATCTACCTGACCTTCAAAACTTGGGAAAAATTAAAAAAAAATTTTTGACGCCTTATATTCTGTAGCTTTCGCCAAAAAAGGACTGTATTCTCCATGCCTCTCTGACACAGGTGTGTCTGAGTTGGCAATGCAAATATACTGAATGTAGAAGGATTGGATATATCTTCAATGTGGATGCAACTGAACAGAAATCTTACACAAGCAAAACACAGCTTGATTCTATTCCCAGACAGGAAGAAAACAATGTCATTTTCCCAAACTGTTTCTTCTCCATCTCTTACAATAAAAATCCTCCTAAGTAGAGATGTCTGAACTGAAAGTAGGGAGTGACAAAGGAAGTAAGTATGGCATTTGCTGTCTACAAACGGAGAGATGAGAGATACAAGTGGATCCAAGTCCATGTCCAGACTACAGCGAGGATGGAAGTTGTCTTTCCCCTCAGAAGATATTCATTTCAGCCACGTAAGAAAAACCGAGAGATTCGAGGGATGTCTCCAAAAGGAGAAGTAAGTGAAAGTGCAAGGGTATCGGAACGGGACCATGTTTACAAAGATGGAGGCGAAGGAAGTGTCACAGCTCTCTGAGAAGTGGCAAGGCAAATTCAGTGTGCTCCTGGGAAGATGAGCTCAGTTGATCATCATGTGGGCAGAGGTCTGACAACCAGTGTGAAATGGCCCAGCAAGGACCAGATAGCGTCTCTAAAAAGGAACCGGTAGATTGCACTTTTTTCTTGAAAAGAGGTGTCAGCTCCTCAGTAGATGCCCTTTAATGGGGGTAGAAGGGACAGCGATCTGAAAAGAATCCTCAGGTTTTCTGTTCAACAATCTCCTACCCTCAAAAACAAACAGGAGTCTTTATTCCATCCCACGCACTACTAGACTCATCAAAGTTTGCCCTCATGTTTACACTGATTAAGACTTCTCCCTTCATTCCCCATTCTCTGCTCCCAGCTCCTTACACTTCCAGACACACTGCTAAGCTCTGATCCTCACTGAGTCAACCTTCACATCTCATTGGGAAGCATTTGCATTCTTCACGTTTGCATTCTCTAACCTCATTCCTTAGATACCACCATCTCTAACTCACACAGATCACGTCACTCTTGTAGAATTTTGTATTTCCCATTAAGAAGGCACGAAGCCAACCCAATCCTATGCCATCGTCGAAACCTCCTCACTTCCTCCTCCCTCAGGTCCCTCATGCAGTTGCACAATCTAGGAGCTCATAGGAGGACTCCCATCTCTCCATAACATGGGCAGTTTCCATCACTTTCATGGTCTCAGCAGCTCTCACAAAATCACCTAGGTTCAGAGAGTCCCGCATAAAGCAACTAGAAATTATGGAACTACTTGGACGTCAGTAGTATAAGACACACAGATCACTCATGGTACAAAGAAGATATACTGACGGCACAAAGTGAGAATTATGCTGCCTGTCACCCAACACTTCACACGCTACCTTCGCATACAAACGGCGTTTCATCTCTGCACCCTCTTTGTAAAATTGTGGAGGAAACGTGACAGACACATCCACACATCGGACTGTGCTCATCAAACCTGCTACACATTCTAGCTCTCGGAAAATATACCACCACCTCTGTGTGTCCTTTCCTTACCCCAACGGGACCTACCAGACACTCCGGTCACCCAAGAGACAAAGTGGATGTATTTTCTGAAGGTGTCCCAGGCCTCACTGCAGTTTTGAAAGATGAGAAGAGACTTACTATTGATCGATTTTATCAGGAACAAAAATTTACCAAGTTACTTACCGAAAGACCAATGGAAATGGAGGAGAAGGAAAACTAACGTGATTCCCGTGATATATGGAAACCACAGTAGGGTTAGAGGTGATCCGGGAAATAAGCATATTTTAGGAGGAAAATAACCAACAACCTAGAACTCAAGTGTAAATTGGGGAGGTTTTAAGGTAGGCTATAAGTTTGGTAAGTGTAGATACCATAGTTTATCAGAACAGTGCATGAGGCATGTGGGAAAATTGACTCCAATGTCAGGACCAAAAGAGCGCTGAGCCATTTAGCGGTCAGGGGAGCTGTGTCCAACGTTGAGAGGTGGGGTGTGAATTCCGCCTTGGGGATCCTCCTGGAGTGTCCACGTGCGGTACAGCTACACAGCAAGGCCCCATGGGAGGACCCACGAGAGCCGGTATCTGTAAGGGGAGCCTAAGGACAGTAGTGGAAGTCAGGCAGTTCTTTTCTGTCCATTCGAAGCCTCCCAGGAAGCAGCAGGACTCAAAATCGCAAACCTCACCTGACACACTGCACCCCTTTACCGACACACATCCTCCAAATTTCCTCTTCTGGTAAACAGAAGAACAAAAACAAATAATATGGACACCTGATCGTGTACGAGGGAAGAACTGGTACTCAGATACATGCAGAAAACAGCATATGGCTCTCACAGGGAATCAGATACTTCATTCCAACAGATGATTTCATAGACCTCAATTTTAGGAACTTGAACAGAAACTAGACTAGAATCGTTGTGACGATAAGTGCCATGTGTTTGATTCGACATGGTATCTCTTGAGTGTTTAGCGAAGGCAAAAAATACCTGATTTTCCTTCTCTTTGCCAGAAGTCTTAAAATCACGTGAAGGCTCATCACGATCCGGACCCTCTAAACTGGTCCAATTCCACAAGCAGACGGAAGGGGATTCACGCTCAAGAGACATCTGTGTCTCTTCTCCAGACAAGCTCATTCACAGCGGTAAGTGGTGGGGGAGAATAGGGGATGAGGGGGATTCAGGCATGGTGGTGAGGGAGCATGGGAGCCAAAAATTGGGATTGAGCTCCATTGGCAGCAATGGCCATGAACGAACCCTCTCGCAAAGATTGTCCAGGGACTCTGTTTCTTGTTAGGGGGCAACAATATACCATGTCAGCATCCCTGTTTTCTTTGGTAGAAGCTCTTAAAGGATCTGAATGGGAAGATTACAAATCTAAGAGAAAAGTAGAAGGATATTTAAAGAAGAGTCTGTGAAGTCTTAATTTGAACATCTCTATCACCGGGGTTCCCAGGGAATCGTGAAAATAGATTTATTCTTCTAAACATTAACTGTCTGTCTATCTATCTATCTATGTATCTATCTATCTATCCATCCACCCACCCACCTGTCCATCCATCCATGCGTCCATCCATGCGTCCATCCATGCGTCCATCCATGCATCCATCCATCTGTCCTTCCGCACCTTATGTGTGTGTGTGAGTGTGTGTGTGTGTGTGTGTGTGTGTAGATAGAAAGGTTTCCATAGGTTAGTAGATAGATATAGATGCAGAGGTCTTCATATAACGTGGACCCCTCTTTCTCTAAGTGCAAAATTTCCCATGAAGAAAATCAAGCAAATCATATCGAACATTCGTGATTGCAAACTGTTTCCAGGCATAGTTCTTACACAGCATCAGTACTGTCTACACTTCTCCAGAAATATCACCTATGAGGTACTCAATATCAAGGGCATCCACCATAAACACAATTTTCATCATTATTATTTATTTCTATTTGAAGTAAGTGACATTTTCCAAGGTCAACTCCCCTTAAAGTTGTCAAGATTCCAACCAGAAAGTCACCTCCATTTTTTTGAGTGCACGTCTCATATTTGGTAATGATGTGTGACTTATAAGGTCCACTAAGTGTGTGTCTTGTGAATTGACAAATTCTGGAAAATGCCACATCTCAGTGTTTGGTTTGGTTTGGTGTGGTTTGGTTTTAGGAGCCCAGAAAACACCACCTCACACTGTTGTGTTGTGTGTGTGTGTGTGTCTGTGTGTGTCTGTGTGTGTCTGCTTGTTTTTATTCCATTCCCCAGAAGACAGGAAAGGTCAAGAGGTTTTGCCTCCTCCTGAGTCAAGTGTGGTGGTCCCTGGTTGCAGCCATGCAGTTTAAGAAAAGTCCTCTGCCGCACAATTCTTTTTCTGGACCTCCTCTGCAAACACGCTCATTCCTGCTGATGGGGAAGGTAAGGAAAACAAACAGTAGGGGTCTGAGTACGGACAGGAGGTACAGCTGAGCTGCTTGGCCCAAGCCCTACATATTTGACTCTCCCCTCAAACGCAGAAAAGGGTTTCAGGGCAGAGGCACTAGACTGAAGCCCCTGTAGAGGAACAGAGAGAGGGAGCGATAAGATAAGACACAGCTCCTCAGATGAACACTGGGACATCTGTGCTTCCCGGAGAGCACAGTGCTGGTGTGGGCATTTCATCAGAACCTTCCCCCTCAAATGAGCATGAGCTCGGATCCTCACGCACACTCCCTCATCTGTATCCCTTCCCAGCAGGTGTGGTCCCGTTTCTCCTTCCTTTGACTTGTTCTCCCAAACATACTGCCTTCAGTCCTCATTAACCTTCCTGTGTTCTAGTACCCTGGTGCCGGTACGCCCTGGTACCTTCCTTCCTTCCTTCACACAGTCTCACCCACTTACACACTGATCCCGTAAGTAAACCATGTCCTCTCACACAGACAACCTGTTTGAACTCCCTCATGCAAACTGCAGCAAACTCATAGACCGTGGAGTGGATGCACTTTCATATACTGCCTTTCTGGTCCTGATGCCGCGTGACCCACAAGGACGTCAGCCCCTCCTAAAGCCACACATTCTGAGAGCCTAGTTCACTTCTGCTAACACTTGACGTCATATTGACTCAACAGCGAGAACAGGCAATGCTCCTGTACGTGTTCACACGTAGCGTCGCACCGTGGAACACATAGGCACACATTCATCCTCCATTGCTTTTTCCAGTGTGGAAAACACTCACGGGAGTTGTCCCTAAACCCACATACAACTCCACAAGACGCACCACACCCTCATCTTCCCAGTGACACCAGCTGCACACCTCCAAGAAAACATACCACTCCCCACATTCTGAATATCACGTGTGTATATGCTTCTGCTCCCCGTATCCTTACAAGAATGGTCTTGTGGCCATCTTAAGTCCTCCCGACAGCACGTACTTATGCTACCTATGTTTGGAATATTCTTGCCTAGAAATACTTCAGTGCCATCAAGAAATAAACTGTCTTGGATTCCACGATAATTGGAAGAGTTCGCCCCCCTTTTCCACCAGCCTACTTCCCATTCCATCCCATCGGGAATCCTAAACCCTCTTATCCTCAGAACACCCCAAAGGAGAGAAGCTCATGAAAATATACTACCTACGTGTCCTCCATATAATGGGGGTGGCTGTCCTGTGTGAGGGCGAGAACGGACTGGAGTCTGCATCAAAGAAGCGAAAAATGGAAGAACTGACCATTTATGAAATAAGTTCTCCCAAACCGACCTCTCTTGTCCGTATACAGAACTCCTGACTGACAGTGACTGCAGCTGGAACAACGAAGCCCAGGAGGAAAGGCAGGAGGTTGAGAGTCCAACAGAGATTCCCCCTCTAGAGGGATGCCCCATGGCCAAGCCGCCCGAGTGGCTGCTGGCCCCAGAAAGCGGTTTCAAGTGTATGGCCTGCTGCCGGGTCTTCCCCAACTTAGAGGCCCTCAAGCACAATGTGCAGAATGGAGTCAGTGAGGGCTTTAGCTGTCTCGTTTTCCACGTAGCCATGACGTGGCTGGAGAACAAGCAGAAAACGGTCGAGAGGAAGACGGAAGAGGAAGAAAAAGGAGGGCAGGAAGATAACCCACAGGTGCCAGGAGATAAACCATTTTGGCTGAAAGAATTCTTCAAGAGATTATTTTTCTGCTGCTTTCGAGGGAGGAAGTAGAGTAGACCACACTCTGCTGAGGGGGCTTTATCCTGTCCAAAGAACCACAGTCCCCAAGGTTTTTTATTGACACCCACCCCGTCCCCATCGCTATCACCACACCACTAGAAGGAGCAAGGAGCCATTTTCAGGTCTACCCAGGGTTCTCCCGACAAGGGGAGAACATGCTTTCCCTCACATGTCCGCCCACATAGTTACTTGCCTGGGGTGATGTACTCATGATGGAGACAGGAAAAGCTAGTGCACAATTGAAACCAAAAACAGAGAAACCTCACCCCTTTGGCTTTCATGTGCTTGTGCACATGCAGGTGTACACACACTTCTTGTATGTTGAAAGTAGAAAGGATGGAACTTGTCACAAACCATCAGAGACCATCAAATATATGCACCCCAGGGTGTTCCAAAAATCAGACTACCATCAAGGTTCATAGTTTGAGAAACCTAAAAGCTACCAATTTCTGAGCAAGCTAGTTTGCATGTTTTATGGTTTGCATGTCACTTAACACTTGTACATTTTCAAAAATATAGGCAAGTAAGTCAGACTTCCCTTAAGGAAAGGAAGTCCTTAATTCACTACTTGGTTTCCATGAATCACCCTCAGAAGAATCATCAGTCTGGGTTGGAGAAATCTGTACCAATAGCTTTGACAATGAAAATAGAGGAGCTAGAGACTGGGCAGTTGGGAATCTTTTTTCTGCTACTCAGGAAAGATCTAGGAGCCTCTACGACTGGCCTTTCTTCAGTTCCTCCTTTTTGGAAGACCTGGCGGTTTGAACTATTAGTTTAATATGCTAAGCATCCCCACTATCCCTTCAATAAAGTCTTGTTTGTTCCCTTGAGCCTGAGTCATTTACTTTGTCACCTAATGTACCTTAATGGATGCCAATTAGCTTGACCATGATCATTTCTTCCATGTCAATAGTTGAACCCATAGGGCCTAGAAATCACTCCTACAGTATCCTCCCCTTCTGATTTTATACTTTAACAGTAAGGGATATGCTTCTACTCCAGATGTCCACATGATTTCTTAGAAAAGTGCATGACAACTCTTTGGGTGTATAAAAACAACTGGGCCTCAAATTTCGACAAACTGGACCAAATTTCATAGCACCGCTTAGCTAATTTGTATGCTGAGTTAGTGCTGTCGTTTAAAAAATGGAGATCATTTCATGTGTCTGTCGGCCATCTGGATGTCCTCTTTGGAGAAGGGTCTGTTCAGGTCTTGTGCCCATCTCTTCACTGGATTCTTTGTTTTTTGGGTGTGGAGTTTGGTGACAGCCTTATAGATTTTGGATAGTAGCCCTTGATCTGATGTGTCATTTGCAACTCTCTTTTCCCATTCCGTCAGCTGCCTCTTCGTTTGATGGATTGTTTCCTTTGCCATGCAGAAGCTTTGGATCTTGATGAGGTCCCAATAGTTCATTTTTGTTCTTGATTCCCTTGCCTGTGGGGACGGGTCAAGGAATTTACCCCAGGGATACAGGAGTGCTGATGCATAGGGACACATCTTCCCCAATGTTCATAGCAACACTCTCAATAGTAGCCAAAACGTGGAAGGCGCCTAAGTGTCCATCAACGGACAAATGGATCAAGAAGATGTGGTTCATCTGCACAATGGAATCCTACTTGGCAATGAGAAAGGATGAAATCTGGCTATTGGTAGCACCATGGATGGAACCTGAGGGTGTTATGCTCAGCGATAGAAGTGTAGAGAAGGACAGGATACCACATGTTTGCAGGTACAGGTGGGTTTGGGGGAACTCAATGGAGGACGATGGGGCAGAAGAAGGGGAAAAATAGTCAGAGAGGGGGAGGGAAGCAAACCATGAGAGACTCTTGAATGCTGACAACAAACTGCGGGATGGTGAGGGAGAGGGGAAGGGGGGTGATGGGCATGGAGGAGGGCACTTGTGATGAGCTTGGGTGTCCTATGGAAAACAACTGACAAGAAAATATTTATGAAAAAAAATGGATATCATAATACCTAAAGTAATAGCAATTGTGAGGAGAGGAAGATACAGGTCAAAGCTCCCAACTTAGGTATTCAAAATAAAATGTCATACATTTTTGGTAATTATTTCCTTTACCTTTGATGATCGGTGGTTTGACTTTGATGTGTCTGGGCAGGAATTGGTTGTTGTTTCTATTTTTTGAGATACGCTGAGTTTCTGAAGAACGTTGAAGTATTTTTTGAAGTTTCTTTTTTTCCTTTTTGAGAGAAAGAGCGTGGCTGAGGTGCAAAGAGATACGGAGAGAGAGAGAGAGGGAGAGAATCCCAAGCAGTCTCCCTGACTTGGGGCTCAAACCCACAGACCGTGAGGTCACGACCTGAGCCGAAATCAAGAGTTGGACTCTTAACCAACTGAGCCACCCAGATACCCCTAAAAACTCTCTTAGTTTTGATAGAAATATAACTTCACAAGAAGTGGCACCAAGACTCCAGAGTGGTCCCTTGTACCTGTCAGCCCTCTTCCTTCAACTTCATTGTAGTGTATTACCAAACAGAGGAAATTGTTTGGACCACTATAATAAATCATCCTGCACACCATAGTAAGATGCACCTGTTTTTACAGAGTGTTAGCTTTTGTAGATTTTACATAGAACTCTCTGACATTTTATCCCATGTATAGAGTTATATTCACATCATTGCAGTCAAGATACAGAAATGCTGTTACCCCCAACCACTTCTCACAGGCTGCTCTTCATCCCACAGCTCACCTTATACTCAATGGTTACAAAAACAAAACAAACAAAACAAGAAACAAACACTGAGAGATTTGCCTCTAATATAAGGAACAAGACAAGTATTCCCACTCTCCTTTCATCAACTTAGTAATGGAAGTCCTAGCCACAGCATTCAGACAAAAAGACACAAGTCATTTGTAATGTTAGGAAGAAATAAAACGTTCACTCTTCGCAGGTGATATGATACTATATATACAATGCGCTAAAGACACCACGAAAGAAGTTATTAGAACTCATAAATGAATTTAATAAAGTCACAAGATACAGATGAATAAACAGTAACCTGTGGCATTTGTACACAGCCATCATGAAGCAGCAGAAAGAGAAAGCAAGAAATTGATCCCATTGGCAATTGTACTTAAAACCATCAAATGCTTAGGCATCAACTTAACCAAAGCTATAAAAGATCTGTACGCTGAAAACTATAGAAACCTTATAAAAAAAAGTGGAGGAAGACACAAAGAAATGGAAAATCAATCCATGCTCATGGATTGGAAGAAGAAATATTGTTAAAATGTTGATATTAACGAAGGCAATCTAAATATTCAATACTCTCTCAAAATAACACCAGTATTCTTCACAGAGTTGAAAGAGACACTTTTAAAACATTGGATGGCACCAGAAAATACCCAAAATAGGTAAAGTAATGTTGAAAAACAAATCCAAAGCTGGAGGCATCCCAATTCTGGACTTAAATCTGCATTTCAAAGATGTGGCCATCAAGACGCTATGTTACTTGCACAAAAATGGACACATAGATTCATGGAACAGAATAGAGGACCCAGAAATGTATCCACAGACATATGGCCAACTCATCTTTGACAAAGAAGGATATAATATACACTGGATAAAAGACAGTGTCTTCAGTAAATGGTGTTGGGAAAATCAGACTGTGATATCAAACCATGAGAGACTCTTGAATGCTCCACATCCCTCATCAGGAAATTATAAACCAAAGCCACAATGAGATACCACCTCACACCTGTCAGAATAGCTAATTTAACTACACAGGGAGGAAAAAACACAGATGTTAGGATGTAGGAAAAGGGGAACACTTTTGTACTGTGTCAATGCAATTGGGTACAGCTACTCTTGAAAACATATGGGGATTCCTCAAAAAATTAAAAATAGAATTACCCTATGACCTACCAATTTTACTTGTAGGTATTTATACAAAGAACACGAAAATGCTGATTTAAAGGTTCACATGTACCCCAAAGTTTATAGTAGTACTATCAACAATAATCAATCATGGAAAGAACCCAAATTTCCATTGAGTGATGACGAATGGATAAATAACATGTGACTACACATGCATGCGCGCGCACACACACACACACACACACACACAGGAATATTACTCTGCGATAAAAAATGAAGTCTTTCCATTTGCAACAATGTAGATAGAAGTCAATTGTTTTATGCCAAGTGAAATAAGTCAGCTAGAGAAAGGTAAATGTGATGTTTCACTCCTATGTGGAATTTTAGAAACAAAACAGATCAACATAAGGGAAGGGAAGGAAAAATAAGATAAAAAGAGAGAGGGTGGAAAGAGACTCGTAAATTCAGAGAGCAAAATGAGGGTGGCTTGGAGGGGTGTTGGTGGGGAGATGGGCTAAACGGGTGACGGGCATTAAGGAGGGCACTTGTCGTGATGAGCACTGGGGGTTGCATGGAAGTGGTTAGTCACTAAATTCTATTCCTGAAACCATTCTTATATTGTATGTTAATTAACAAGGATTTAAATAAAATTTAACAATTAAAAAGAGGAAAAATCTAGCTTTCCTAAAACATAATTTATGACAAATAATAATTAAAAAATCGTCTCTGTGACATTGCCCCCATTTGGTTAACAGTTGCATTTTCTTCCTTG